CAAGAACTGCTGCGGTGGGGGGGGGGGGGGGGGGGGGGAGAAGAACAAGAACCAAATTAAGAATAAGAAAAAAAAAACTACTAAAAAATATGAAGGATATTTTTGTCAATCCCATAGTCAAAATCAACCTTTGAAGCTTGAATAATTGATTCATGACCCGAACTGGAACTAAGGGTGTGTTTGGTTGAGGAGGGAATGGAAAGGAATGGAAAGAAATTAATGTTCATTCTTATGTTTGGTTGGTTTTAGGAAAATGAATGACCCTTAAAAATGGAATGACTTTTTCATTAAATGGGTGAATCATCATTCCTTCCTCGTATGAGAGGAATGCTCATTCTAAGCTCTTTTAATTTTCTTTTCCATCATTACCCTTAAATATTATAATATTAATATTTATAATATAATTAATATATATAATGTAATTATATCTTATAACATATAATATAATATATTATCATTATATACTTATATTATAATATATCATATTTAATATTATAATAATATCTTATATTATGTATTATACATTGTAAGTATATTTATCATTAATATAATATACAATATAATCATCATATTGTAATTAATAATAATTATTATAATATAATAAAATATATTTGTGATATTGTAATAAATAATTATAATAATAATTGGGATAGTAGTATTTTTTATAAAATTAAATATAATAATTACATATTTTATAAATAATATTATTACATTATATTATGTTATGTTATATTATATTATATGATATAGATGTGATGTTTTCAATAATAATATGATAGTTATAATAAAAATTAAGATTTTATTATTTTAAATATATAATATTATAATTATAATTAGATATTATATTTTATAATATTATAATTAAGTATTTATATAATTACAATATAAATTTAATATAAATATTATATATTATGATTGTATTATAATAATAAATATTATGTAACTATAATAATAATTATATATATTATATCCTTATAATTATATATATAATATTAGTTATTAAAGGATTATATTAATATATATGATATTAGTCATATTAGCATGAAGAGTAATTTTGTCAACATGAAAATATTCATATCTTATTACATTGTATTTGTAAAAGTAGAATTAAATAAATAAATCGTCTTTTATTTCTATTCTATTCTATTACTATTTTCATTTTCATTCCCATTATCATTCCCCCCACTGTAATCAAACGCACCTTAAACAGCAAGCTACTGGACTGAAACGCAGAAAGAAAGGACTTTCTCCGCCCTCCTTTTCCTTTGACCCCATAAACACGCTGGTAGTGCTTGTTGCTACTAATTTTCAAACAGTAAATATTTGTAATATGGTTACATATTTTAACTTTAAAATGTAACTCTTTAGAAAACCAAAAACAGAATATGTAACCTTAGTCTTACATTTTTCTAATTTATATTAGACAAACCTTCTTCTCAGCCTTCCACACTAGAAATTAAAAACACAATCAAAATTGTAGACAAATATAGTGATAGTATGACCTATGTAGTCTAGTTTGTTAATAAACTAATATAAGATACGTATGATGGGGCGGTTTATTTTTTATTTTTCTTTTGGCTGCAATTTGTTTATCACTTAGTCACCTTGTTAAATTTATATATGTGGATATGTTTCACTTGACCTTTTCTGGTGAAGTTAGGCCGATGTATGAGATGTTTTTCTTCTCCAATTGAGAGCAGACGAGTGAATCCTAACTCTTCTGGTTGTCCAAATAATAATAGCTAACTCTACATGTGTACAATTACTGCTCAAAACGAATATTCGTGTCTCATGATTAGAGATTCAAATCACATTGTTTCATTTCTACCCTTACAAGTTACTATTTACATATATAAGAAATTCTGATTTGACTGGTTTAAAACTTCATATCATGGTTCAAATTTTAAGGTCAAAACTTGTGCATCCAAACACTGATTTGGAACGGGCTTATGGTTCAAAGTACATGAACTCATAATTTCAAATGGCCCTCTATGCATCCATACAATAATAATAATAATAATAATAATAATAATAATAATAAATAAAATAAAATCCACGGAAAAAGAAAAAGGAGAACTACATTTCAAGGGATGCACATAGTTTTTACCCATTAAATGATGAAAAATAACAATATGAGCAGTTGATAAAATCTGTAAAAATAACGGATATAATCGTTTTTAAGCAATTACCCAATTGTTGAAATATGAGAAGTGTGTAACAACACATGGGATGTATATTGTAGTCTTATTCTAAAGAAAAGACAGAGGTGAATTGCCTGGCCAAAATCTTAGAACACATCAGACTCAAACCCAGTGGCTAACTATGTGCCTTGGTACCTCAAGAATATTGAAAAAGTTAGGTGACCCAACACACTCTATTATGGCCAATTTAAGTAAATTGCTTATGAACCATATTTGCTTAAGCAGCCTCCACTGTCGGAAACAGTCACAAACTAGTCATTTCATGAGTTTCATTTGTCAAGAGATCCCATTTATGGAAACAAACCAAACAACACAAGCTTGATCAAAACCACTGTTTTTTATGGTGTCTCTAACAATTAACAAAGAGGAAGTGCGAAATAGGTTGATTGCCACGGGACAAGATAGCTAAAAATCAAGAACAGCGCCTCTGAAACGTCAGAGAGACGCCGAGTGTTGGAAAGAAGCTATAAACTAGCTAAGGAGCTATGGCTATATATGCTTGTTGACCATTTTGTTGGTGAAGTGATTGGGCCAATTAGAAATTTTTCTTTTTTGAAATCAATGACCAAGTATTACAATATTAATTAATCTCTTCGAACCTCTCTATTAATCACCTCCTTAATCTGTTGAGAAGGAAAAATTACGCAATTCTATACGTGATCTATGTATAATTAGCTATAGCCCCTATATTGTAGGCTGCAGCCTCAGTTGCATGCTTTCTACTGTACATAAGCCTGTTTGGGCAGTTCCACTAGAGCTTGAACCTCTTTTAACTAGCAGCACTACAATGTATTTTTATAATCTATGTCCTACTAATTAAGCACTTAGTGATCAGTATCTCATAGTCATGATCAGGACCATTAACACTAAGATAAGAATTTCTTTCCTTTTTTTTTTTTTTTTTTGACTCTTAGTTTCGTAACAACATAAACCAATGTTACACATTTTTCTTACAAAAAGGGAAAAAAAAAATATTATACCTTCGTAGCTTCTAAAATGTTATTTCATATAATAAATGTGATATTATGCTCGTTGTTTCTAATCCTTGTAAATGACTGAATATAAACCATAATTATGTTGACTTAAACAGATAACATAATAACACGCAGAACAAGGACCTTTATATTCATTGTCTTTATGTGTGCTGTCAAGGTCAAAATAACGTACTATCCACAGATCACAAGCCATTGGTGTGTACCACACCCTATAAGAAGAAACCCTAATTACTCCATGTCAGCACCAACATAGCAAAGACATATTCTGAGTTACACTACAACCAAGCTTTCCATCTTCCTCTTCCCAACACAGAAACGCCATTTTCCCCTGGCAGCTTTCTTTTTATCTCCTTCTTCCCTTTCGCTTCAAGTTCAAACCCTAGCCAGATCAAATAATCTCCTCATGAAAATGGACTATAAACCCGATCTCACATACGAAGGACATGATCATGATCATTACGGCCAGTACTTGGACAAGTATTATTCATGTGATGATCATCAAGATCAAGATCAAGATCAAGATCATGATCAAGAAGAAGATCAAGATCGTGATCACGATCAGAAGATGAAGCCAAAAACGGGACGTGGAAGCATACAGCAAAAGCTGATCGAGAACCAGACGAACCGACAAGTTACCTACTCCAAACGACGAAAAGGGATCCACAAGAAAGCTGAGGAGCTCGCTGTTCTCTGCGATGCCAAGGTCTCCCTCATCATGATCTCTCATAATCATACCAGAATGGACGAGTATGCCAGCCGGGATACCACGTAAGTATAATACTCTGTATTCTTCCATTATACACACACACACACATATAGATTTTGTATAAGAAAGATATTATAACGTATATGATCTTGTTATGATTAAAAACCAGGACTAAGGAGATGATTGACCTGTATCAGAGTACCAAAGGGATTGATTTGTGGGAGGCCCACTACGAGGTTGTCTACTGATAATTAATTTGATCTTGAGATCTTTCTTTTAAGGCTTTAGTAACTCTTGGGTTATTTTTAGCTTTTTTTAATTAATAAATAAAACAACTTTTTTAGTCATGATATGTTTACTTGTGCATTTTTTTATGTTTGTAGAAAATGAAACAAAAGCTACAGGAACATAAAGAGAAGAACTACAACTTGAGAAGAGAGATCAGGTAATAAATTAAACCCGCTGAATGATAAAAGATAGGGATTTTTTTATTTCTTTTTTTTTTTGTACTTTTAGGCTTCTTTTCCCTCATTTTTAAATATTTTACAGGCAAAGGATGGGTTATGATCTAAGTGGTCTGAGCTACCAGGAGCTATGCCAGCTTGAACACAGTATGTCTTCTGCTGTGGAAACTATACGTTTAAAAAAGGTTGGCCTTGATCATGTATTGTTAGTAGTTTCCTGCGTTTGTCACAATTTTTTTACTTGATGTTATTCGCTAGATTAACATTTGAAATTAGAGTTTGTTCAATCTGTGATCGGTTTCTCAGCAAATTAATCTCTGAAGTAAGTTTTTTCACTTATATATATGTGATTCTTTTAGTGGTGGGAATTACAAGCAAAATAACTTTAGACATGTACACACGAGTACTATTCTCTAACTCTTTAAGCACCTAAAAAGTTTGTTAAATAAATGAAGAGATTGATGAACAAAGATGGCTCAATTACTAAATATACGTTTTTGTTGCTCCGTAGTAAGTGATCCATAACTGAATTCTAGTGTCAGAATAAGTTCATTTTGGCATGCCCCGATCCTGGAATATGTTTGGAGGGCATATTTTTTGTTCAAGTTTTGTTTATTTTTTGGTCTTTGATTGTTCAAACTAGAAGTCCTGTGAATTCTTTTGTTGATAATTTCAGGAACACAAGATCACAACCCAGACTAACACTACCAAGAAAAGGGTAATTAGGGAGTTCTTAAATTACTATCCTAATTACTATCCCTCCAGGCTCATGACCTGGCTATGTTTTCAGTACTTAGTACTGATATCTTAATTTGATCACAGGTGAAGAGCTTGAAGGACATAAACCTAAGTCTCGTGCATGATTTTGTAAGTACTAATTAAGCTTGAACCTATTCAAATATTTATTTATTTTTGAATTTGGAGTTGGAAATTCGAACTCTACACAAAATGATAGAATCAACTGTGAAATTAACTTTCATAAGTTTTTAACATTTAGATTATGTAAAAATTATTAAACTATGACTAATTATTTTGGGTTATAAATTAGCAAGCGATGCGTACATGTGAGGATCCGTCATATGGGCTGGTGGAGGACAAAGTCGAAGAAGAGTGTGAATCTATGGCGGAATTGGCAAATGGGGCCTCTAACCTGTACACTTTCCGCCACGAGAATCGTCTGTTGGGGTATATGCCCATAAATCAAATAATATGTAAATATTTTTATTGATTGTTAATGAAATGATGAATTTTTTTAATATTATTTTGCATGCATGTGATGTTTTATAAATATAAAAAAAGTAACTTTAAATATTGTATATAAATATTATATGCAGAGGCTAATGTTTGAAGTAAAATAATCTAAACTTGTCCGTAATTATAAATTAAAGTTTGAATGTTTAATTTAAAATTACTAGCTCGGTTCATTACATTCTGAATGAAACAATCTTATCATAGATTGTTAATAATGAGATTATTAGAATGATAGCACTTTATGCAATATGATTACATAGGACCAGAACACGATTAATTATGTATCTCTAATAAATTTCGTTATTAAATAGAGCATTCAATATTAATCAATGATTGTCATATATGATTTTATCTTAATTTTGAGTAATTAATAGACTCCTATTTATGATATTATGTTCTTTGACATATTGAGTAATGACACATATGAATAGTGTCAAAGTCTTGATATATTGGGAGCATAGTAAAATAAATAGTCGGGAATATTAATTTATAAGATAAAATTCATTCCTTAGATGAACGGTTCCCATAAGTGTTGATTCGGGACTTGAATAATAAGAGCGCTCAATTTTATGATTGGATTATAAATATATTATTCATTAGAGGATTAATGGTACTTATGAAGAAAGATATAATTAAAGAGGTTAACGAAAAATTTTTAGGTTTAATTATGAACCGTTTATGGAAGATTAATTCGTATGTAGTGACTATATCAATGGACAATACAAATTCCATGAACATAATTATTTTATAATTTTAAGAGTGCAATTTTAAATTTATAATGGAGTAATTTAGAATTAATAATTTTAATATATTAATTAAGATGTTAATTAATTGTCAAAATTATTGAAGCTTAAAGTTGTAATGTCTATAAATCCTCTCAATGGCTCTATAAAATTAATGTGAATTATATATATCATATTAAATTATGATTATTAATTTAGAATTGAGAATTTTAAATACACATATTAATTAATTTAATTAATTAATTTTAAATTAATTTTAAATTATTTTAAATTAATATAAATGAATCTAATTATTTTTATAGAAAGAAAGAAATTTTTTTCACACTTTTATAATTCTCCACGTTTCTCATCAAGAGAAAAGTTTTTTTTATTATTTTTTGGCCAATGAGGTTTGGCCATAACACAAATAAAAAAAAAAATTTGGAGAGAGGGGAGAAAACGTGCAGCAGCACGTTTCCTCAAAAACAAAAAAAAAATATAAAAAATATAAAAAATATAAAAAATATAAGGGAGTGGGGGTTGCACGTTTCATCATCATGAGGAAAAGAAAAGTGTACCCGCACAGTTATTAGATGCAGGGAACAATTTTATATGAGAATTGTTTTTCGGGGACAGAGGAAAAAGTGAGAAGAGAAAGGCCATTAAGAGATATTACATGTTTTTGAAAAAAATGAGTGATAATTATAAGTGATTTTTTTAGTCATATATTTTATGTATTGAGAAATTTATTAGAACGTTTATTCATTTAAGTTTACATTGATCTAAAGATATATTGAGAAAGAGCCGTAGTGTTCTTAAAATTTAAAGTTTAAGACGGTATTAGAGGAGTTTAAGATTAGCATCTTAACCAAGTGACGATAAAATTCTTCTTATTCTCTATAATATTTTTGTAATTAAATTAACATGAAATAATGATCACATTAAATTTTAATTTATGTGATTCGATCGATATCACGCTTCCGCATAATTTTTTTTAAACAATCCAATTTGAGAAACCAACGTCATCACCACCAGCAGTATTGTTGTATGTCACGTGCGCTTTCCACTGGATCAGGAGGGTTCGGTTCTTACGATATGCATGTTCATGATCTTCGCCTTGCTTAGCAAGCACTGATAAAGCTAGCTGCAGTCTCATCACTGCTCTTCCTAAGTAGTTAATTAACTTAGATGCAAGATATTTATGTGTAGTAAAATTATTTTCTTAGTGTTGCATGCAGGCTTGGAGTTCCCCTAATACAGATGCAAATATCTATTATGTCGATGAGTACTGTTTGTTACCTTTGTTGATTGCTGACACTAAGTGATGTCCGATCTTCATGCATTTATATGATTTTATGCTTACTTTTATATGTTTCCTTGATGACAATTGTTTGGCCTCAAATTTCGGAAAAAATATTTCCAATATTTGCTTACTCAATGCATTGTATGGATTTTTCGTTTTGTTTTGTTTTTTTGTTTTTTTGTTTTTTTTTAGGGAACGCTTTGTATAAGTTATTAGTTACATCTTGGAAGAAATTCTTGAAATGATGAGTGTTCACAACAGGAACAGAATGAAACAAGCGCGAAAGACCAAACCAAAGAAAAATCCTATAGGAATTGAAATACCGCACTCAGATCGGTGAATCTATCAGGAGTGTTCACGGTGAAATTTCGTCAACAAAAATGTGCCGGATCACTCTCTGGTATCCCGTGGAGTTACCGGCTAGAAATTACTTGTATATTTAAAATTATGCTATGAAGTGTTTGTTATATTTTTAGAAGCATGAGAATACTGCTTGAATGAGAGGACACCCGAAATTTATAGTGGTTCACTCTGTTAATGAAGAGCTACATCCACTTGTGTATTGTATTTCCTTTGGGCTCTTTTTGGATTACATAAAATCAGCTCTCTATTCTTTGATTACATATGAAAAATAGGCAAAAATCCTCTCATCTTTCATTCGGGGCCTTGCCTCTTTTATAGCCTAGCGATTACTTCATGAGTGGTTTTTCATGGTAGGCTCATCCACTTGAGTGGCCTACTAGCCTATGAGCCCAGACCCATAGCATATCACCACCTTTTTCACTCTTCACTCATCCAATTTATCCCCTATTACAACATCCCCTTTAATCATCCACCGTCCATTAAAGGGTGGTTTATGGGCTTGTAATTAATGCCTGCATTACTGACATTTTTCAAACCCAGACGTAACTCATTTGTCCACTCAAGGGCCTATCTGGAGATTGTAACACCCTGAAGAATTAATTAAGGTTAATTAAGGTAATTGAGATTATTAGTGTGCCTAATCTGGATTATTAATGGAGTATTAATTAATAAATTTTTCTGACACATGTGAGTTTAAATAGTTCCAAGGTATTTAAATTATTCTCAGTAATTTATTTTAACCCAGAAGTGTGTATGGGCGCATTTCTGGACTGTTGTTTTAAAATATTGTACACATGTCCTTTTCTTTTCTTTTTCATTTTTCCTTTCCTTTTTCCTTTTCCTTTCTTTTTTCCCTTTCTTTCCCGTGCGTTTCTCTCCCTCACACTCTCTCTCACTCTCCCGTGCTCTCTCTCACTCTCTCTCTCTCTCTCTCATTTTTGTCCCAAATCAAACAGATCTTGAACCAAGAAAAGATTTAAAGAAGTTTTCAACGTCAAGAGAAGGATTCGAGGTAAGATTACTGAAAGAACCTCTCTTGAACCTCAAGTTTTTGAATTTCAAAACTTATTTTTGGTTCAAACCGGATTTTGATGGTTTTTGAGTAAAACTAGGGTAAAAATTGGAGATCATGGGTTCTTTGAACTTGTTTTAGGACCTAGAACCCAGATCTAGTGGTTTTCCTTTGAAATATCTCGATTTGGGACTAGATTTGCAGGTTTTGGATTTATTTCCGCGAGCTTCTCTCGCGCAGCTGATTCCATCGGTCGACCTGTGTGGTCGACCGGATCACATGGAAACCGGTCGACCTGTGCGGTCGACCGGATTGTAGGCTGACCGGTTGACCGGTCCGGTCGATCGGTGTGCACACTACTGGTCGACCGGTAGTGTTGCACTGCTCTGTCACCGGTCGATCGATTGACACGGGGTTTGACCCTATTTGGCCTGAAATTGCTGTTTTGACCCCTGTTTTCGGGGAGAACCCAAATTAGCTTCATTTGGGGACTTGAGATAAATGGATTAGCATTGTTAATCCTTGATTTGAGATTTGAAAACCCTTGGAATGATATTTTGAAACATGAAAATGGATTAGGGCACACTAATTGAAAATCTTGGGACATAATTGAGATTTGGATCGCTTTAGGAATGAGAATTGACCTTAAAGTGTTGTCTTGCATCAGTGATCGCTGAGGATTCAGACTGAAGGAGCTTGAGGAAGCGGAAGCCAGAAAAGGTAACGCTAGTCCCAGGTTTGATAATGCGAGGTAGGATTTCTATCCCTCTTCCTTGTGAGCCTGTTTTCAAAAAGGATTTCGGCCTTGAAAATGTTTTAAAGAAAGGGATTGGTTTGCAAAAGAAAACG